AGTAAGTAAGTAAGTAAGTACCGCAGAGGCAACGAAAATATACATTTTGTATCTAGTAAGTATTCTCTGTAAATTTATGGTTTTAGTGATAATTAAATCAAAGGAATATGGCGAGTAAATTTCGAACTTTTATACTCAAAATTAAACCGTATCCTCCAGAAAATAATTGTAGTTAAGAAAGTAAAGAGATACATAAACATTTATCTGTAATGACTTTAGACTGGATTAGATTTTTTTTCTTTCCATGGAGTGCTGTTGCAATAACACTTTCCCTGGACCTTCCTAATGACATATTCTAAAGTAATTTGAAAAGCATTGGCGATAAAACCTCTCCTATATTAGATCATGTTGGGGAAGGAAAATTACATATATAGAAACATCCTCATCCCACAAAATTTCTTCAGGCAAGAGAGAGTGAGACAAGACAGAGGCTTCCGATTCCGAAGGATGAAGATCGAATCCTAACACTTGAGTTTGCGACAAAATAAGACAAATTTAAATGGTTGGACAGTCATAATATACAGAGTATACAATATCAGTATCAAATACAGAGTAATTCACTGCTAGTAGTCTTAACAGCTGTAACTTATTCATGCCTGTGGTAATTTCCAGTCAGAAATATCATATAAAAATAAGTGTGAGTTTGAACGGTTGCGGAACAATAGATGTTTTAATTCCAAGAATGATTTGTGTGTAAGTCACCATAGTTTCACGTTCCCATGTGACAGTGTCAACAACATCCATAAATTAGTCAGTAGTAAGAAATTTGCAAAGCAGATTTCAACATCCTTTCAATGTATGTAAATGTATGTTGTGTTATGCTTCACAATCAGGTGATTGGTTCATTTAATTTCGAGGGTCGTAGTGCATGTGACATTTATCTGCAGTTTTTGAGGAATGAATTGTCTGACGTGTTGAGAGCCGTACGATTGGAAACATGAACGCCATGCATTTCCCTGTTTTAGCTGAGCAACTGAATTGTATCCTTGTTAAGTTGGCACTAACTTCGTTGACAAGCGGCGGTCGCTCAGTCGGTATATTTCGCTTGCCGACTAAAACCATGGAGTTTGTTTGTTTATTATCACTTTCCAGATGGGTGGGTCAATCGTAGCAGCCCACAACATCGACCACCTAGACCTCCAGACCTCAACCTCCATAGAGTTTTATGTGTACGTGCACACGCAAGATTTGGTGTAGGAGCAAAGGTAGAAATAGGCGAAGTATTGCAACTCCGTCGCGTTCTGGAACCTACGTTAGGTACAAAGCGCAGTTCAAATGAAATGAAGCGTCCTATAACCCACACACTGACTCGTAGACGAGCCAGCATGCGTACCGAAGTTGAAGGTGGTCGTTCTGACCATTTATTATACATTTTGCAATGGGAATTTTATGCAAATGCATATTCAATTATTTTCACTTTTAAGCCTACTTTCCTTATTTAAAAGAACAATAAAATGAGTTTTATGGGATCACCTTGCTGTGTGTGTGTGTGTCTCTTTATCCAATATAACTCCTTAAAGCCGAAAGAGTACATTCAGAAAAGCGTTTTTTTTATTGCTAGTGGGGTGGGACTAAGTCCCTTGTAATGCGGCCACTACTGGCCTACTTTACNACCCACACACTGACTCGTAGACGAGCCAGCATGCGTACCGAAGTTGAAGGTGGTCGTTCTGACCATTTATTATACATTTTGCAATGGGAATTTTATGCAAATGCATATTCATTAATTTTAGTTTTAAGCCTACTTTCCTCATTTAAAAGAACAATAAAATGAGTTTTATGGGATCACCTTGCTGTGTGTGTGTCTGTTTATCCAATATAACTCCTTAAAGCCGAAAGAGTACATTCAGAAAAGCGTTTTTTTTATTGCTAGTGGGGTGGGACTAAGTCCCTTGTAATGCGGCCACTACTGGCCTACTTTACCAGCCTCAGATGACAGGTGAGGGTGATTTTGGAGCAATTGATTGAATGAAGATTGGCAGGGGAAACCGAAGTACTCGGAGAAAACCTGCCCCAGTGCCACTTTGTCCACCACAAATCCCACTTGACCATACCCGGGATCGAACCCGGGCTGCCGCGGTGGGAAGCCAGCGACTAACCGCTTGAGCTATGGCGCGGCCTCAGAAAAGCCTCGCGGAGGCGGCCGTTACTCAGCAAAGACTTAGTTATTAAGTTTTCGGGCTTCTGCGCGCTGCGACTCACTGCTAACCACAACCCTCTGTACTTAGCCTAGTTTTCCTGTGTGTCTATTTGTATATGTATCCCCCTATTGTTGCTAGGCAACGGCCCAGTTACTGAGCAACGGCTAGATAAACACGTTACCGCGGTAACGAATACACACGCAAAAATACAATAATTTTTGGGCTCGTCGGTTCCTATGCGGTTTATGTCGTATTAAAGAAAATTTCTTCCTAGAACTTACTGTTTAATATGCCGATAACCGTTGAAATCTTATATGTATATGATATTTCCAACTGAGAATGGCACGAGATATGAAGTCCGAAAGTTAAGATAATGATTCGTGAGTTAGCCTGCATGTGTGTGTATGCGTGTATCTTGTTTGATGATAGCATGAATAGAAGAAAGGTAACTAATTTAAAGAAACAACGTCTTTCATGAGATGCATTTGCCTCAGCTTATCAATAGATATCCCATCCTTTATTAAAGCCGACCGTTTTCATGCCAGTTCGAACCTGGATGCTATCCTGCGGACGATGAATGCAGTCCACATTATCATAACTTAATTCTCTGAATTCCCTACAGCTTAATGTTGTTCTCTCATCTGCCCCTCGGTAGCCCCGGTGGCCTGTCTTTCTGGATTTATGAAAAAAAGGGCGTGTTTATTTCTTATATCTTTTCATTCTTGTTATTTTTTCTACATACAAACAATAATATAAATTTTGCTTTTTGCACCTGAAATTTTATTATCCGTTTTCTAAGAAACTGGATGTCAGCTAGAGTGGATGAATGCCTGAATGAATAAAAGGAATATACTAGTATGAATTCGGAAATTTCGTCTTGTGGGATATAATGTCTCCTAGTCCGTTAAAATGCAACAAAAATTCCCTAGGAACATGTCTCTTCAATCTTCAGTTTCGAAGAATAAGCCAAACAATAAACCAGCGTGAAGCATATAGCTCTTCTTGCTATATTTTTCATGCTGATTTCTTTCTTGGTTTATTCTTCGACCCTGAAGATTTAGGCGAAATTTTCTTCCGAAACGTCGGCTCATTTTCAACGGACTACACGGTATTATGCCCCAGAAGACAGAACACTTCATAACCACCGCTGCGAGAACCTCAAATCCTAATACGAATGTCTTCGTAGGTTATGGGTAATTAGGATGAGCTGTAACAGAAATGTCCGATTACTGACCGTCTGCAGTGAGCAGCGGTGAGGACGTACTGGTCAGTAATGAGTGTGCCGCCACAAGCTGGAGAGTTGTTGCCTGTGATTAGAACCATCCATGGGTATGCATTCTGCGGTGTCGTCTCACCTCCGATGATGCGAGTGTTGAGCCTGCGACTGATGTTCAAGTTGGATATTCCACAAGCTTGAAATAACACAGTTGCCTTATGCCAGGTATTCAGATTCGATAAATCATATTATGAAATTTAATTTGGGTGTTGTGCAATCAATATGACGGTCTTGTGCATATTTACTTACTATATACACACAAAGTAGAGCCGGGATAGCGTAGTCGGTATTCCGACTGGCTACGGGCTGGACGACGGAGGGGTCGGAGTTCGAGTCCCAGTAGGGTCAAGGATTTTCTCTTCTCCATGTCGTTCAGACCGACTCTGGGGTCCACTCAATGAGTACCGGGGGCTTTTTCCCCCGAGGTAAAGCGACCGGGGCGTGAAGCTGACCACTCACCTTCAACTAATGCCGAGATCAGGAAAATGTGGGTCAATACATCCACTCCCTCATACGTCTTCATGGCGTAGAGCTAATTAGTTAAGCACAGGGAAAACTGCACCTTAACGACATCTTTAAATAATAAGAAAATTACGGTATACAGCATAAATTACATTTCAAGTTTCCATTACAAAGCACAAAACAAAGTCTCACGTGGAAGTCAGGTATGTCTGCTAATCCGTCTCTGATGACGTATCAGCTCCTAAACTTTGATGAATTTTCTTTTTTTAATAGGACAGTATACAATCATTGATCTTGTCAGCAGTTCGACTTTCACTCATAACGACCCATAACATCTACCTTACATCATATTAAAAGTAAAATATAGATTTGTTCCTGTGCTTAAATAATTAAGCACCAAGTCATGAAGACGTATTGGATAGTGGAGGAGTAACTCCACCATCTTGACCTCAGCACTAGACGGAGGTCCGTGGTCGTCTTCACTCCCTGACATCATTACCTCCTGGAGAAAGGTCTTCGATATATTGGGTAGGAGGCTAGATAGGCCCAAGATCTGGTCTGGACGCTGTGGAGAAGAGAGAAATTTCTTGCTCCTGCCTGGAATCGAGCCCCGAGTCTTCGGCCTTCCGACCCGTAACCTGGTCTCTATACCGCCTACGCCGGTAGATTGTTACATTTCCTTACCGCATTGTTGGCACTGTGGAGCACTATACGTTGTGTACAAGGTTGTTTCAGCTCGGCTGCTGATTCTCGTGTCTCCTCTGGTTCTATAACCGGAGGAATGCACCTTAGGAAAAACAGAAGCTAGTCCAGTTCTTGCATCTACATTATAATAGAAGAGAATGATTTGACAGACATTTAAAGTGTGCTTTATAATGGTATTATATAAATAATTTAAATACTAACAGCTAAAAAGATAAATATATCCCTTTAATAGATCGTGGAGACCCATAGGGTTTTGAGACTTCCAGGCTCCCACATTTTCCAGACAATCGGCTCACAGATGGCGGTAAGGTTGTTAGCCTTAAGTACCGGCACACATTTACCCCCAGAAATATCTGGTACTTATTTCTGTTACAGGCTGAGTCGACCCCAGGGCCATATTTTGGCTGGAAGGACTTAGTCAATTGAAAAATCTAATGATTTCATTGGGACTAGAACCCACGACCTTTCGGCGTGTAACATAGTGCCAAACCAACCGCGTTACTCGGTGCCCCTACAATAACAGGATAGTTCTTAATATATATGACATTTTGTAGTTTGTTTTAAATATGTGGAAATATTTTGACGTGAATGTAAGAAGGCTAAAATCTGATGGGGCTATAGGCATTGAGCTTACTGAGCAGACAGGTACAACTCTTATATCAGGGTTATGATGGGTTACAGTAAATGAGTTGAACGCTCAGAATTACTGGCTTTTCGGATGTTCTCCAGCTTGTGTTAATTCTTAAAACTAGAGAACACAAGGTTTTGGAAAACTGGATCTGTTTCCATCCTCGGGTGAGTTATGAGATACCTGAGGAAGGAAATAGATCCAGTTTCCGAAACTTTGTATTCTCTAGCTTTTAGAATACCGGATGATGGACGAAGTCCAAAAATCCAGTAATTCTGCGTGTTATACACCATCGTACTTTTCAAATAATGCAGTCAGCACAACTCGATAATAATGGTGACTGCCCCATTCGAAAGTAGGTTAAGACACACAACGGTGTGCATACTTCGGAAGTTATACACCATCGTCAGAACCCTTTAGAATCTAAACGTGTGTAAGTTCAATTGACTGGCATTGTGTCAAGCTAAACCCGGAACAATGTTAGGGTACACAAGAAGTACCCCCTGCTTCGGTAACCAAAGTGGGCAATGCCTTTTGCACGGAAAACATCGCAAAACGGATGACTGTTTCTTGAAGTGACGGCGGTTTAGAAAACCTGCTTTGGATGTGAAGAAGGTTATTTTTGGGTCACCATATTATATTAATGGGGATATAATGTTTCAGCTACGATAAAATGGTGATGCTCATGTTCACTGCTCGTATTCAGCCACTCCAATGCATTCACCTAAACATACATAGTTACAAAGCGATCACATTTACTATTTGAAATAGTTTTAAAAATGCGGATGTAGGAATTTGTAACGGGCATGATAGCACTAAACCGATCCAATAAGGTGGCAAGGAATCTTTCAATCTTAAATTAAATCCTTTACAATCAATGACTGTTTGCACTTCGATAGCAGCCGACTCACCTGAACTTCCTGTGTTTGATCTCCAGTAAGAAGTACAGTAACAGCCCATGGGAGCAACCACTGTGTGTAGGTCATGGTAGCTTCTCGTATGGAGCACCATCCAATAAGATCTTCCGTGGACTGCGGAGAAGGTAAAGTGAAAATCTGACTGGAGACATTATGTCACCGGCATGATGGTTGTATATTTGCTAATCGACTGTTTGAAAGCAGGTCCGACTCTAGTGTAATGTATCAGTGATAAAATTATGCGGGTTTTGCGATGTTGTTACGAAATTATTTGAACTAATTTTAGTATATATATGTATATGAGGCAATTTGTTGTTATATATGTGTTATGTGACTACGCTTGCCAATTATATAGTTCGTGTGACGTATTTACACGATTCTATGTTCTGAAGTATGTCTCCTGAAGGAAAAGCGGGCAATTTAATTCAGTGCTTTAACGGAAAAACGAGGGAATGAAAAAAAAATAAATGAAAGAGATGAAAGAAAAGAAGGGAGGTGTTGATGGATAGAGATATGACAGAAATTATTCGCAAATGAGGTGGACTTTTTAATTTACCTAATCCTTCCAGCCTCACTATGGCCCTGAGGGCGACTCAGCCTCTAACTAAAATTGATACCAGGGGGTAAAGGGCGGCCAGCGGGTAAGGCTGACAACCTTACCGCCATCTGTTAGCTGATTGTCTAGAAAATGTGGGAGCCTCAACATTTCACAACCCTATGAACCTCCACTGCCTGTTACAAGGATACCTTTATTTTATATTTGCTTTACTTTTATTATTCCCAAACGAATTTCAACTGCTTCTCCACCAGTTCTCGTCGAATAACAAAATTTCTCGTTGAGTGCGAAGCAATTTCAGCACAGCCCTAGGGACCTTTATGCAGTGGGACACCTGTAGAAATTTCTATCCAGATTCTTAAGTAAGGCAATAGAAAGATATGTGAGGAAGTTTTATGCCTCTGTTATCCGGCAAGATGCACCATAAATAATAAAGTGGTAACAAAAAGTTCTTATCATCGACTGATTATTTCAATCGGTTATTCCAGGGAGTACAAACCAGACCGTCATATAATGGCATGATGTGTTATGGAACACCAGTGTTCGACAATGTTGTTTAACTTTCCATTCTGTGGGAGAGATTTCATTTATAAAACGAAGGTACTCCTGCCATTAACAGCTTTGTTAGTCTTACCGTATGGTTTCTATAAGAACACGCGTCTAATGATATTATTGTGTCCACTTGTCCTTTTCATCACTGTGTCTGTTCCTGAGAAATAACTTTTGAAACAAATGAAATTTCAATGAAATCTTCGTACATTTTTACGACTACACGCTAATCTATTTGTCTTTGTATGTTTTAATCATATAGATGACGGCCGTGAAAAGGTCAGAAGTCTCAGTAACAGTAACTTATGAGTACTTAGTGTGACGCCCTGAAACATGACACTACAAGTACGCTCTGGTTTCTTCTTACTCCCGTTTTGCGAAGATGTCTTCAGATAGGGTACAATGAAAATACCAGCGTCATTTGAACATATCTGTATTTAGACACAGTATATAACGAAGTTCTTTTACCCTACTTTTCTTATTTGAAAAAATTAAAGGTAGGCTTATGCGAACACCAAGCTGTCTGTGTATTTGTGTATCCCCCCATCAACTTTTGTATGGATGAACCAGTCTTCATGAAACTTTGTATGTATATCATGGCACCTGAGCCCATCTTAACTGCGTTCTTCACAAATCTCTCTTATCAGTCTGTGTGTATCTATATGTGTATCCCCCTATCGTTGCTAGGCAACGGCTCGATAAAAAAACGTTACTGAAGCAACAAACACATATCTAACTGCAGAATGATTTTTGGACGTGTCGCTTTCTATGCGGTCTGTGTCCTATCAAGGAAAGCTGGCGATTAGTTCTTCCCAGAACTTCTTGCTTTATGACTAAGACCTGAGGGGCTAGGCCGCCGAATCATGTTATCAATATAGTCACNTCACTGCTCTCACATAGCTGTGTATTTTTCCGCAGTCTGCTTTTACCGGTTCTCACGGTCTCTTTGCTTGCAGATTTCTATATATTTTTCTTCTACCCTGAAGATGGAGGCGATACGTTCCTCCGAAACGTCGGTTAACACCACATATACACGGCGCAAATCCCAGAAGACTGCTTTCTTCATAGTCACCGCCGTGAAAGCCTCAAATCTTACATACTTATATTTTCTTTATCGTTGATGCTATTTCCATTTATTCTATAATATTTCCATTATGTTCAATACATCTCTGATCTCAGTCTGTAAGATATAAGCCTAATACGCTTAAATATATACGAGGAATACATTTCCATTGCAACTATAAGTATATTTACTCATGATACGATGTTTAACTGAAGTCATATTAGTTTAATTTTATAAACCATTTTAAAAATAATTGTGCACTTATTAAAAACATAAAATGGGATATTATTATCTCGTCACTGATGAGCCTTGTAATACATATAACTTAATTTTAAGTCATCACTTTCAGGTTGCCTGAGTCTGAGGCCATCTTCGCTGTCTAGAATCCGAATTTTAATGTCGATGAACAATAGCAGGCATCGGCAGTGTTGCTATATATCCAGGGTACGTAGCTGTTGATTCTGGTGTACAGAGTCGGCGTTGTGGAATTAATGCAATTGTTGTTGGCAGAAACTATACCTGGAACACAAAACAACATAATTTTGCACAAATATAATTATGGAAACGACTGTTAGAACTTCAAGAAGTGTGGTGCGACCAGCATTGGGAATATACTATGTTATCTTTAAAAAACCATTTCAAATTCTGCTTTCCTGGTCTCCCACATTAAACTGCAATGTAGTGTAACCGATCACACAACTAGTAGAGTGGATGAACAACTCCATGGTCTTTCTACAGCATGTTAAGTATGTAGGATACCAGGATTGGGGAGGAGAGTGCAGAATATATGGCAGAGGATTTGCCTGGGCGCCAAGAGCTGTTTCTCTGGGGATTTGCCTGGGCGCTAGATGTTTCTCTGAAGATGAGTATTTACCAAGTCTTCCCCTTCCTCTGTTGTGTTGTGCTACTCAGCTCGCCTGGAGAATAACTAGCTTAATCTCACGCTGTGATTTGATTGGCAGTAAATCAAGAACGGAAAACTACTTAAGCTGAACAAAATAAGACTTACTTGATGTACACTGGCTATTATTTACTATGCCAGGCTAACTTTTATTAATTTGGTTAATACAAGTTATTATTCGGTTTGATAAGCAGGAAGTTATAAACGGGTTGGACAAAATAATGGAAATACTACAGATAATGTACACATTTCTTTTATTAATATGGTGCTGGATCATGTCTTGCCTTCGGTAGAGTTGCAGTCCTTCTTTGAGTAAACTCTGGCAAGTTCTGGACAGTCTCTAGCGGAATTTGATACCTTTCTGTTCGAATAACATCTTCAAGTTGCTTTAGAGACGTTTGAGGTGGGAATCTGTTCCTCACAATAGTCTCCGAAACTGACCCAGAGTGGTTAAGTGATGTTCAAATCTGGTGATTGTGCTGGCCAAGGAAGATGTTGAAGTTCACCTTCTTGTTCTTAAAACCATGACTGAACAATTTCAGCTGTGTGAATGCGGGACATTTTCATCTTGGAAAACTCTATCATTGTTAGGAAATAAGGTCTGGATCATGGGGCGCACCTGATCGCCCAACCTGTCCACGTACTCCCTTGCAGTAATTCGGCCATGAGTGCTAATAATGGGACCAATATAATACAGTACAATGCAGTACCACATCCGGATACTTGATGTACTTCCTACACCTGCAAGGCATTTGCATCTGCCTACCATAGAAGTAAATTTAGTATTCCTTAATCCAAATTACAACAATTTAGAAATTCGGAAGACATTGATGAGTTCATATTACTCCAGGCATTCCTCCGTTCTAATCGTTCTGTTTGTTACAACAACACCGACCCTTTCTGTACCTCCTATATGCCTCAAGACACTTCAGCTGTCTTAAGGGGTAACTAAACAGGTGTTTACCAGGCATCAAGAAAATTAATCAAAATCTAAACTAAACTAAATAGATAGAGTTGAAAGGATTCTGACGACGGTGTATACTGTACTTCTTTTGGCTTGTTTTGGACTTCATCCATCGTCTGGTATGTAAAAGACAAAAGACCACGATGTTTCGGAGACTGGATCTGTCTCCGTCTTCAGGTGGGGAAGGATAAAACTACTCAGTTGGGCCCGTTAGAAAAAGCTAGTCTCAATCACTGAACTTAGAATCAGGAAAAAGGAAGAAAGAAATGTATTGTGTGCTTAGCATAGCAAATGTCTATTATACTCACGAATATTCAGGCAATAATATGGATAATATTTACGAAAGTGTTGATAGCGTAGTCGGTATAGCGACTTGTTACGTGCTGGAAGACCGAGGGGTCGGAGACTGAGTCCCGGTGAGGGCAAGAATTTTCACTTCTCCATGTCGTCCACACCGGCCCTGGGGGTCCACCAAACCTCCTATCCAATGGGCAACGGAGGCTATTTCCCCGGGGGTATAGCGGCCGGGGCGTGAAGCAGACCACTCAACTCCAGCTAGTGCCGATGTCAAGAAGGTGTGGAACTATACATCCACTCACCCATAAGCCTTCACGGCATAGTGCTTAATTAGTTAAACACAGAGACAACTTTACCTTTTTACCTTTACTCTGTATTATACTAAAATTCTTAGGAAGAACAATATGCTTCCTCTTCGTAAGCATTCTTACCGATTAGCTGATACACTCCACGAAGATCCCTGAATTGGACTGGTGCTCCAAGGTCAACCTGAAATGATGCATAAACTACTTGTGAATAAAGAAATTAAAAATGAGCAACTTGTCTGTTTAAAACAGTTTCTTCCTAATTTAAATAAATATTTTCAATAGTAATAATTAACATACTTTATGAGCTATTACCAATTGGGTTTATACTATATCAAGATTAATGAGAAGTTCTGAGAAGAAGAAAAATGCACACTTTCCTTTGATAAGAAACGGACCGCACAGAAAAAGGAAAAATTAGGGAATTCACAGACACGCAGAAAAGGAGATCTGCCTCCTTTCATTTCTTCAAAATAAGGAAAATTGACTATAAAGAAAATGTGGGAATATGTACTTACGGAGCAAACTTGGTTTGGGGCGCCGCTAATCCCGGCACAACCTGTATCTCCTGATATCTCTTGCGAGTTAACGTTGGCGTTCTGACACTGCCCTTCTCCCAGTACTGGCAGACCGAGCTTCTTGGGCAGGCACAGATTGTCAGAGGGAAAACTTGCTTGTCTGCCTTCTCTGGAGTTCAAATTCTCCCAGAAACTCTCGCCTTCATAATCAGTCCACTCTGCATAATCATCTGAAACACATACGAGTATGTAAGTTTGTCAAAATCCGAAGATAGGGACTGGCCCAACTTACTTGATCAATGTAGCCTCCTAAAAATCTACCCCTGAAGGAAGTGACGCTAAGATGTGATTCATTTCTAGAAATTTTTTTGGCAGCCCTCAAAGGCCGACGTGTTTTTATACGTTTCTAGTCTGATGCTATTAGTAAAAAAAATATATATATATATATTTCCGCTTAGAGTGACGAACGCCTGAAGTTACTGTAACATACTTTCGCATAAGCAACGACTGCACTGTGACAACGTGAGATTTATACAACGTGGAATTGGCTGAGAGGAATTTCCATTCTCTGATTTGATGAGGCAAGGAGATAGCGTCTACCGTGGAAGTTATCGAATGAAATTTTATGTTCAAAGTTCCTTCAAGGTATTTACGAACCGTTAAAGGATGCAATATACAAGATCTTACTAGCAACGAAGATAAAGGAAAAGAACTCGAAGTGTAACGAATGCAGAGCAAATAGATTACAAGTTAAACTGGATGAACTGTCTGAGTAGGATGACTGCAAAAGGGTACCAAAGCATATTCTATCGTACACATCGCAAGGATGCGGACCGAGAAAGACCTTGGAAGGCCACGCCATAGCTCAGGCGGTTAGTAACCGGTTTCCCGGGCCACGCCATAGCTCAAGCGGTTAGTCGCTGGATTTCCACGGCGGCGGCCCGGGTTCGATCGCGGGTCTGGTCAAGTGGGATTTGTGGTGGACAAAGTGGCGCTGGGGTGGGTTTTCTCTAAGTACTTCGGTTTCCCTTGCCAATCTTCATTCCACCAAATTCTCCATTATCATAATCACCCGGGGCAGGCCAATCAGTAGCCGCCGTGCCGAGTGGACCCAATTGGACTCAACCCCCTACTAAGAGAACCGGCTTCCCACCTCTGCAGCCCAAGTTCGAGCTCAGGTCAGGTCATTTGGGATTTGTATTGGACAAAGAGGCAGTGGGACAGGTTTTCTCCGAGTTGTTCAGTTTCCTCTGTCAGTTCTCATTCCACCGACTCATCATCACCTATCGCCTGGGGGTGGTAGAGTAGGCCAGTTAGTGGCCTACGTACCAAGTGGACTCAGTCTCACCCTACCCCAAGGAATTAGAATGAAAAAGACCTTGGGAATGATATTTTTGTAATGTCGGAACTGGCTTGGTTGTACATAACACGAAGTGAAGAAAATATGGAAGTTATGTATTTCGCAAGAAGTGTAAGAGATTGAAGCAAACAAATATTCATTTTGCCCTACCGTTCATCTATCCATCTTTACTCCTTCATATCTGAGTTTCAGAACTTCTCAAATTATTTCGATAAATTTTTGTACTGGATAGGCTACAGGCCGTCAGCGAATTTCATTTTTGCGCGTATCGGTAACCAATGCCTCACCAGAATTTCTTATACGAATGTTATGGAATTTCACTAGAACCGTTCCATGACAAAAATTATGAGTTTAATAATTCTCGTGGGTATCGCTCGATGCATTGAACAGTGTTCAAGCAACGAAAGACCTCCCCGATAGTCTACTAAGTGAGGTGCCTTTGCACCTCGTTCCCTTTTGCCCGCCCAAGCAAGATCCTGTACCCCTTGAGAAAGATGTTCTGTTCATATAGCCAGATTCTCCTGGGTTCAAAAGAACATCAGAGAATCAACAAGTATTGACAGCGTCACAAGCGTGGCAGCAATATAACTAATAAATTGGCGTCTACAGGTGTGTCAGAAGAATGCACGGCGAGGAGACGGTACATTTTGTAAACTCTTATTACTTTAAGAGCAGAATTCATAGGCAAAGCCTCGCAGGTTGTGACATTCAGTCTATCTTCTCTCTCTCTCTCTCTAATATATACAGTATATTAGTTTACTTCCTTTATATATTCATATTTACTTCTTTAAAGCCGAGTGCTCTATATGGACTATCTACTTTAATATGCCAAAACTCTGCATTCTGTCCTGAGGATATATTTGAACGTTTTATATGGCTCTATTGTTAAACAGTCTTTCTTTCCCTAAAGAGCATTAACCGTTTGATATTTGTGGCAAAGGCGTAATGTGTTCCTGTGATGTACGAACTCAGTGCACCTCTTCCAATGGTAACCACAAAATGTCGCCCTAATACAGCCCTCCCACTGTTAACCACAAACTCTACTCTAGCGCAACCCTTCCAACGTTGATATTAAAAATGAATTCCGATCATACAGAAGCCCAGGCCGAACTTTTCTCCCATGCTCGTAACAAAGTCTGTATCATAGAACTTGACTTCTTCAATTCCCAAAGCTTTACCCTCTCTCAAACATATCTCCGGCTAAAGGTCGAGCAGGAAATGTTTGGGAAACTTCAAAAATTTTTCTTGCTTCCCTTACATGCAATGTCTCTCTCACTTCACTTCTCCCTACCACTTTCTCTTCTGTATCTCTCTTTTCAGTCTTTAAAAGGTCAGTGAACATAAACCACCGTACAATGATGCAGTGACGAAGATTGCAGTTGTTAAGTCGTTATTCCATTGAGTGTAACCTCTTATAATCTTTTTTAAGAAGTTAGGTTATGGTTTAAATAAGACCAATTCCTTGTACCTGTGCTTACAGCCCGTCTTCGTCGGCCAGGAGCGGGAGTGGTCGTAGTAGTATTGGCAGTAGTAGTGTTCCCTGCACCAGTGGCGTTAGTTGCAGCCGGGCCCTGAGGTGTCGTGGTTGTAGTTGTCGTCGTTGAGTTTGGTTCCTGACCCCAGCTGACCACAGTCACTACTTGACCCAAATACCTAGCATCTGTAAGCAAAATCTTATATGATCGCGTGTGCTAAAAATAAATGTAATTTTCATTTCATGCATCCTGTTGTGTTACAATATACAGCCTTTTTATTATATCCGTCACAACACAACTAATATCAAGATCAAACCATTTTCGGCCTTGCTACATGTTTCGGCTATTGATAGCCATCATCAGGCAAACACATGATTTACACATATATACACACTACTGAACCGCAGCACCAACAAAATTGGATAAAATATTATTACAATACACGTATATAAAAAAACTTTACGTTGTTTACATTCCTTACTTTGTGAGATGGGGCACTGACTGATATTATAATTTGCTTTACTACATCTACATTACGAGCCTCATACACAATTTTATATACGCAAAAGTATGAATATTCCAACTTGTCCGTGGGAACGAAACAAAAAACAAATCACAAACCAACGACTGACACGTTGATGTAAAAACACCAAAAGAATTTTATTCTTATTTTATATCAGATTTCTGTTTTATATAACTTGATTTATTGTATTTTTTACGTCAAGTTTTTTCTATATTTTAATAATATTGTATCCAATTTTGTTGGTGCTGTGGTTCAGTGGTGTGTATATGTGTGTAAATCAAGTGTTTGCCTGATGATGGCTATCAATAGCCGAAACATGTAGCGGGCCGAAAATGGTCTGATCTTCATATTAGTTGTGTTGTGACGGATATAATAAAGAGGCTGATGATGACTGAAACGTCGAAACTTGTTTCACGAACACAGTAGACCCATTGCATGTAATTAACTGCAGTTACATTCAGGGGGTGTTTAGACGGACATGTCCTACTTAAATTGTATTAATCGTGATAGTAGTAGCAATAGAAGTAGCAGCAGTAGTAATAGCAGCAAACAGGGACAATATTAGTAGTGATGGTAGTAGTAGTAGTAGCAGCAGTAGTAATAATAATTAGTAGTAATACTATTAATAGCGGTGGAAGCGGCCGCAACTTACTAGGATCCGGAAGGCAGACTGGATTAATATTCTGATTGAATGTGACCGGATTGGTGAGTTTCAGGAGAGCTATGTCGTGACTTCCGGTCCGAGCATCGTAGTTCGGCAGAGCAGTGATGCTGGATACACTGTCGTTGACAGAAGAGATGTCCACCCGGCAGCGGTCAGTGGCTCCAAGAGTTACTTTCACTTGATATGGCGTTAACCTAAAAAAAATCCTTTTGTTTGAGCCTAATATTAGTTACTGAATTTTCTAAGAATCCGTAAATGCTCACAGAATTTTCATAGCACATTTTTTTGTATTGTATAGCATTACAGTGTAACAACAATTGAAGATGTAACAGAAATTCACAACTTTTTATACACTTCTCCGTGGTATTAACTTTACCTGCATTCTCCAGTATCCCTTTCCAGTCCTGCCTATTATCGAATGACGCTGAGGCCGACATATAAGGGCACCTCCCACGTGTAACATGCACAAATACTCAGCCGTATACTGTCTTTTTTGTATAGTATACTGTATATATGCTCTTGAAAAGAAAAGGAAAGAAAATGTCCGCATTCTAGTGTATAATTTCTTGTAGTCAGTTGAAAGTCAATCAGCTTTTCAGCGTCGAAGAATAGGCCAAGGCAATAGGGCAGCTTGCTACCCGCTTCAGGCTGGTTTCTTCCTTGGATTATTCTTCGACCCTGAAAATGGAGATGACATGTTCCTCCGAAAATCTGCTTGGATTCCAACGGACTTTACGGCGCCATATCCCAGAATGTAGAACTCTTCATAACCACCGCTGTGAGAAACTGAATTCTTACAAATGAAAATAAATATTCAAAATCTTAAAAAAAAAATTCACATTCTATGGTAAATATTAAGCTTCAGTCTCATAGCTTCTGAATACAAAGCAGGCGTAACAACCAACCTGCGACGTTCTCTGAGAGACAAAGTATAATAGTCACATAACATCAAAACCAAACGAGAAATAAAAATATATGTTCTTATACTATACGAATCTTTAAGTTTTTACATTGGACTTGGGAATTCTCACCTGAATCGTAGCGACTATTTTCCGAATTCCCTTTCCTCTTAGATATGAAGGGGCGCTTTGTTCCTTTCTTTTCGTGCATTTCACATGCTTACGATATATCAGGTATTTTAAGTCTTAAAACATCTCCCTTATGTAATTTCCTTTTTTTTTTCCTTGGCACTACAGCCCCAGTGGGCCTAGGCCTACCTCCATGAACTTCTCCGATCACTTCGGTTTTTCTAGATCTTAGACATACGGTAGGACTACTTGGGCGGGTGATCAGCTCGTCTCAATGCCTCTACCTGTACATAAACACAGAAAAAGTCACACAAACATCCATGCCCTGAGTGGGATTCGAACCCACGATCCCGGCTTCCGAGCAAGCGAAGACAGTGCACGCCTTAGACCGCTCGGCTACCGTGACCGGCATGTAATTTCCTTACTGCATAGTAAATATCAAAGAAGGATTAAAAACTATGACTTAAACACCTCTGAGGAAAATGCAGATGTAGATTAACAGCAAAAATTGCGTAATTTAGGTTTCTTAATCTTGGAAACTGCCAGTTTGCCTCACATTGCAGTGCTTACCCAGCCAGTGGTCCGTTTGATGTAATGACATATCTGTCATTGATAAGTACTCCACTGGAAATACGCGTCCCATTGAGAATAATAGCCACCAGCCAGGGAAACTCGTGTGACTGAGAGAACTCTCCACCCTGCAGACGAGCATTCACTCGGTTTGGTCGTCCACAAACTGTGAATAAGAACTATAGTAAAAAAAAAAAGAAAGACATCCATTCACAGTTTCATGGACCCAGCAGTGGTCTGACTCTCTGGCGACCGGAGTTTGTTTCCCCACATGCCAATAATCAATACTTATACACAGTGGACTATTTTGACATAAAACTTTCAACGTCACAGCACATTTCTATAATTCAGTTCAATTTCTTTATTTAGGTACTTGGATCGAAGAGAGATGAAGTGACAGGAGGTTGGAGAAAACTGCATAATGAGGAGCTTCATAACTCGTACTCTTCTCAAAGTATAATTACAATGCTCAAGTCAAGGAGGATGCAATTAGCAGGATATATAGCACGAATGGAGAAGAAAAGTAATGCGTATAGGATATTCGTGGGAAAGCCAGAAGGAAAGAGACCACTGGGAAGACAAAGGCGTATGTGGGTGGGCAATATTAAAATGGATCTTAGAGAAATAGGATGGAATGGTATGGTTTGGACTGCTCTGGCTCAAGATAGGGACCAGTGGAGTTCTCTTGTGAACACGGTAATGAATCTTCGGGTTCCGTGAAATGCTGGGAAGTTCTTGAGTAACTGCAGAATGGCTGCTTCTCAAGAAGGGCTCAGCACCATGAGTGAGTGAGTGAGGTACTGGCCAACAGCGAGTGGCCTATAACAGGCAAGCACTGAAAATACCGTATTTACGCATGTATAGGCCGCAGCACAATTTTCAGACAGAAATTATAGAAAAAATAATTTTCTTGGAATATTATTTCAGGAGTATTACACCCTGTATTACTAATTATGAATATATTTTTTTTTAAAATGAAGTATGATTTCGAATATTTCGAATATAAGCCGCACCCCAGTTTTCCTCTTGAATTTTTGGCAAAAATGTGCGGCCTATACATGCGTAAATACGGTATACATAACAAAAGCTAGAGTAAAGCTAGAACTAGAATTAGAACTATACTCAAATTTAATACTATTTAACAGAACAATAGGGCGAACTCCATAATGACGTAATTCGATAGGATTAAGCAAAGAAAAACGTATCTTCTCCTAACAAATAAAATAGAGAGAAAGAGAAAAAAATCCTTGCAGTTCAATATTTATAGGTGAGGAGTACTCACGGCAATTGCAAAGTCTAGGTCTTCCAAAGAGGAAAGATAGGAATCCTCTAGCTTCCTCCTGTAAATCAGAAAACAGTGCATATTTTGTATCTCAGTTCACACACAGACACAAATACATAAGAACACACATATATATGAGTATGTGAACGATGGCAGTGTATTTGTAACTAATACTGTGACCCTCTCGATATTCCTCTGAGCTCGGCCTAAGTACAATAAACTAGCCAATAAATAGTCTTTCCTTGAACGGAACTCTGATGTGGAGGAACTTATGATACTATAGTGTATAGACCCGTTGCTAAGCGGGGACTCTGTAAACAGCGGCCGTTGCTAGGTAACACTCGCAACATACACGCACCTAATAATAGAACAAAGGGGTTATGCAACCAGTTTCTAAACAGTGGACCTGTAAACACGCCTCTACCACAATAGAGTTATTGTTGGGAAAGATATTTTCTATTCGGGTCAGTGCAAAATGGTTATAAAGAAGAGAGTTAAATGTTGACAGTTTAGTTGAGCTCTGCAGGAGAGATTAAACCAGTCTGTGAAGAGAAGAGTATGAAGTTTGTGTGAAATGGCCGTCAGTCTGTCAGTTCTCAGTTAAGCGTTGAGGGTTGGCAGTCAGTCGAGCTCTGTAAGGAAGGCTGGGAAGATATGGCGCTAGAGTTGAGGAGAGTTCTGCACGGGTGGCAGTGACAGAAGGACCTGAGCTGATTCTTACTTTCCCTTTGTGTATGAATCTGCTTATGTTTAAGTAATATATGTCCTAATCTTTCCATGTGCTTTTCATCCGGAGACCAATCATTTTTGTAACATGTTATTACATTTCATAGACGAAATTAACAGAGTAACAGCATTTTGTTAAAGATTGATGAGTGATTTAAATGACAAATAAATTATAGGAAATGATATATCTACAAATAATATCTAGAATTTCGTGACGATTGTACATTAATAAAATTATTAACTTTTTGGGCATGATGTGTCCTCCCTTATTTAGCCTACTTTCCTTACTTTGGAAAAAATCATAGGATGTTTATGAGATCACCTTTTCTCTGTCTCTATTTTGTTATGAGTCTTATTAGGTCACCTTGCTCTCTGTGTTTTGTTAGGAGGCTTATGAGATCACCTTGCTCTCTGTCTGTGTTTTGTTAGGAAGCTTATGAGATCACCTTGCTCTCTGTCTGTGTTTTGTTAGGAGGCTTATGAGATCACCTTGCTCTCTGTCTGTGTTTTGTTAGGAAGCTTATGAGATCACCTTGCTCTCTGTCTGTGTTTTGTTAGGAGGCTTATGAGATCACCTTGCTCTCTGTCTGTGTTTTGTTAGGAAGCTTATGAGATCACCTTGCTCTCTGTCTGTGTTTTGTTAGGAGGCTTATGAGATCACCTTGCTCTCTGTCTGTATTTTGTTAGGAGGCTTATGAGATCACCTTACTGTCCATATATTTTTGTGCCCCTCATATTTTTTTCTGTGCATTCCATTTCGTACAAAGGAAAGTAGGCGATTTTTCTTCCCAGAACTTCTTATTTATTATTTAAAACTACTTACCGGAGATTGCACTCTACCTTCGTCCTCAGGTAATAGGACTATTAAGTTGGGGCCAGTTGATAGAACTAGTTCCTATCTCTGCACCAGTCATCATTAAACATGTTCTGCTTGAACGATAATTTAACTGTCGCGACAGTTTTCCTTAAAATTTTCATATCTCAAATTATACGAGAATCTTTCGAGCAAGTCCGGAGATGTTTTATGCGTACGTACGGACGGACGGACTGAGAGAACTTCATAGACACTCCGCCGGCCTGCGAACCTGACAAAACGGATTCAACAAAACGTCATCTTTGTTAAACTTCTCGATCTACTGCTAAATGTGTGTGTGTGTGGGGGGGAATAATTTGAATTGAGAATACCGGAACACTCTTCTCAGCAAATCGGCAGTGAATCACCGATACTTACTCACACGAAGCATAACATTTTGACGTCAATTCTCTTGTATTCCAAATTATTGTATTCTCTTACATTCGCCAGAATAGGATTTTGTAAAAATATTAATGCTCTTGCATTGCAGTTTGTTTAATGTGTGTATGTTCTGATTGTTAGCCAGTCACAGTAGCCGCGCGGTCTAAGGCATGAACTGTCTTCGCTCGCTCGGACCCTGAGATCGTTGGTTCGAATCACACACAAGGCATGGATGTTTGGTGTGTGTATGCGTTTATTCTGTGTTTGTGTTGTCCTGCGGCCTTTCGAAGGGCTGATCACTAGTACAAGGAGTGCTACCGTCTGTGAAAAATTATTACAGAACCGAATAAGAGGTCAGGACCCTGAATGGACTGAAAGAGCCATTGGAAATATGAACTTCGATTATTAAATAATACATTTAATTCTGAATGGGAAGAGGTTAGAAGGCCCAATCCGTCAAGTGAAGAAGAGGAATGTAATATATAAATTGAAATAAAGTTTAAGATCATTATATCGGGTAGTGTACTTGAGTACTCACATTGGAGTCTTCAGTCTTTGCAGAATGCAGCATGAACACAGCAACAGCCAGCAGCAAGCTTGTCTTCCTAGTAGCCATCATGACCGACCCGCTTCCAGAAGCAGACTGACTGCCTGTGGAGCGCCCTCTTCATATGACATTTCAAATAGAGGTCACCATCATGTGTTTTCATCTATTGTTGTATTCATTAGTGCAACACAAATATCGATGAAGCACAAGAGATGGACTCTTATGTGACTCCGGTAATATTTCCTGAAGACAATCACTTGATGAATCCAAGCAGTAATTATTTAATAATCATTCGCATTAAAAACAAGAAGGAAAACCAAATATATGTGTGTGTGCTGGAGCGCGAGTATTTATGTATGCACCTATCTTAGTTCAATAATTTATTGAATGGCATCGTCTAGGTTGTTTTTGCAATGTTGAATGGCATGATGAGTACGAGTAAAATTCCGTGGCCTATAGTCCGCAAGCGAACTATACCTACCGAGCGACCGCCGCTTGTCGGCGAAGTTAGTGCCAACTTTGCGTGGTCAGTGCAACGGATCCCCACGGCCGATAATCTCGGTTTTATAGACTGGAGCCGCTATTTCCTTGAAATTGTTCCCAAATTATCCTAACGAGGTTGAGTGGACCCTGTTCCAGACTTACTACTTTTCAGAAAATCTGGTAGCGCCGGGAATTGAACCCGGGACCTGTGGATCTGTAGCCAGGAACTCTTGACCACTAGACTACAGATGCGGTCGATGAATACGAATATGGATCGTAAACCGGAGTGGCACAGAAAGAGATGTGACTTTCCATATTTGAAGTCAGTATCCCAACACTTACATGGAGGGACTAAGAAAAGGCAAGAAAATTCTCAGAATAGTAGGTTCATCAGCCTGCAGGGTGTCTGTCTCCCAATTAAGAAGTAGGAGTGCTAATCACTTAACCGCAACGTTTGGTAGAGTCCGTGTCTAAACTTGTTTCTGTATAGTTTTTCCCACTTATACCTGTTTGGTATGTTCTCTATTTCATAGTTGCTGACTGACTACAGATGTACGGCGTAGGGAATGCAAGTACATCTTACTGTCGCAGTGTCAGCAACCGAAATTTCGATCACGACCTTTCAGCTGAGTATAAGGAAGTAAAACTCCCTACTGTAACATATGCACTGGGCAGTACCTGAATAGTTCCCTTGGCACTGCAGCCCCAGTGGATCAAGGCCTACCTCCATGAACTTCTCCGTTCACTTCGGTTTTTCTAGATCTTACACATTCGGTAGGACTCCTTGGGCGGGTGATCAGCTCGTCGCAAGGCCTCTACCTGTACACAAACACAGAAAAACGCACACACACAAATTAAACATACATGCCCTGAGTGGGATTCGAACCCACGATCCCGGTTTCCAAGCTAGCGAAGACAGTACATGCCTTAGACCGCTCGGCTACCATGACCGGCTGGGTTTCGCATCTACCCTAACATATTTCAAGTTTTAACCTAGCTGTTGACGAGCAACGGACAGGCATCTGTTCATCCTGGCTTTTGTGTTACCGTGTTCGAATCTTCAACTTGAGGTAGGCTCTTCTACGTTTCTTGCGGTTTTCCCCAGTACCATCCCACGATGGGCTCATCAGATGTGCCATCAATTCTTTCTCTAAATTTGTTAGCTTTCAATAACTATCCCCCTCGTTAATACCTGACGCTACGTAGCATCTTCAATCGACACAGCGTCTCGAAAACAAAAATGAGAAAGCAGTTTTAAACCAATATAAAGAAAAATTCTAAATACGTCTAATTTGAAATTATTGTTTTCAGAGTCATGATACCCTGCACGCCGATAAAACTTTCGGAAGAACAGCTGCGCCCACCACACTTCACTGTACTATAGCCCAGAAGAACACAATTTAAATATTCACATTCGTTACAATTTCAAAATTCTGAAATGACTTTTTATATACGAATACTAATAACCGATATTTATATATTTCCTTGCAATTGCCTCAAATTTTCGTAATTGTGCATCTGAATATGATTGAAACCAATTTTTGCTACCCTTGATATTTTCTGCTTATTGTGTTTTATATCACCGAGTCAGTTATAAACATAACATATGTGTTCACTTCAAGCGACACACACATATGAATATTCGCGTTCTATTATAGAGACATAACCGTGAAATATCCCACCGTCAATGTATTTTATATTATTCAAGTTCGGTATGATGTACGCGCAAACACCAACCGCCTACATCAGGCGGTATAAGTAAGGTTGCGGAAGGAATGTAACAATATTATTCAGATTGTACTGGTTGTATCCTTTGTACTAATTTTCTTTTCTTTGGCGCTGCAGCCCCAATTTGGTCCTTGGCCTTCCTCCATGAAACTCCCCGTTTCACTTGGTTTACTAGATCTTAGATACTCGGTAGGACTCCTTGGGCGGGTGATCTGTTCGTCGCAAGGCCACTCTTTGTATTCGCATATTGTAAATATTCTTTGCTTCAATGATTTCTTCTTATCTTTTGAAACATTCTCCAGAAAATAATGATATAAATGTAAGCATATCACAATGAGGCCGCGCCATAGCTCAAGCGGTTAGTCGCTGGCTCCCCACCGCGGCGGCCCGGGTTCGATCCCGGGTATGGTCAAGTGGGATTTGTGGTGGACAAAGTGGCGCTGGGGCAGGTTTTCTCCGAGTATCTCGGTTTCCCCTGCCAATTTTCATTCTACCAACTGCTCCACAATCACCCTCACCTATCATCTGGGGCTGGTAGAATAGGCCAGAAGTGGCCGCAGTGCAAGGGACTTAGTTTC